AATAATAAATACTGAAAAATCATGTGCACAGTACTATTTTTGAGTGCATAATTACATGGATCTCATTACAGTAGGCTCTTTGTGTCTGCTGGGGTATATTACAAGACCACCCCCCTCCCCCGGATACCAAATCCATGGATGTTCAAGTTCCATTATCTAAGTGCCCCTTATATAAAATGGCAGCAACACAGGATCTCATCAGATGTCCTCCATTTCTACACATTGAAATGTTGCACAACTTGGTCTGAGGGTTGCCAATAGGACTCAATCTTTTCTCAATAACACCACACAAGGTAGACAATTCCTCCTGCCCCCCCCCCACTTTGTGGGATGAGGTCTTCAGAGAGAGAACCCAAGGACCTGTGAAATTGCAGGAGACTCCAGTGAGTATGCTTACACATCAGTGTAGTGCTCAGTGTATGGCATAATCAAGGTTTGTTTTTTAAAAATATATATATTCAAATATTTTTGAGCCATGGTTGGTTGAACATGTGGATGCAGAAGTCATGTATCTGAAAGGCTGACTGTATTAGTTAGAGCTAGTTAGGTACTTGAATCATTTTTGGGGGGAGGGGGAACCTAAGCAGAGAAGCAGAATAAGGCTTGTGCTACTTTTTTGTTTTGTTTTTTTTTTAATCAAAAATGTTTTTCATTTCTACATTTTTATACAATAAGGGAGTGGGGAGGCCAAGGAAATTGTGATAAGTATATTATGGAGTTTTGTTAGCAAGTTAGATCTATCCACAAGTCAAATGTACATCCAAGAATGAGGAAGAGGAAGGTATTATTATACATATTCTATTTTGTTTTAAAGCAGTACAATTCACATTGTCTTTTGCTTAGGAAAAACAAAACGAATTAGGTTGTTTTTTTTATTCCATTTGTCTTGCTCATTGATCTTCTTTCTTCTTATATTGTCCCATCTTTTTCTTCTCTTCTCCTCTAGGCCTATACCATTAGTTTTTCTTCTAGTTATTTTGTCACTATACTTATACATTTTCTATTTTCGCTTACTTTTAATAATAGCATTTCATTTATAGTTCTTAGAGACAATGTATTTGTTGATAATGCCTGTATAAATACTTGTTAGCTTGGTCCATCATCTAGCCTTCTTTTATATCAATCTGTCTCTCTCTCATGAACTCTTTCTCTCTATATGCATACATATCAATTGTTAAACAATTGTTTTTAAAGTGGAGATAATTAATTTTAGTGTTTATGTATATTTATAGTTTATTTTATGGTCTGGCATTGAATCTTTACCGTATATATGTTGTGTTCCACCCTGGGTCCCCTTTGGGGTGAGAAGAGCAGAATATAAATATTTTAAATAAATAAATAGTAAACACCTGCATATATATATACATACATATATGTGTGTGTGTTTCCATAATTTCTATATCATTGATATTGTGCATTTTTTTCTATTATACTTTATTAAGAATTGACCCATCAGACATCCTCTATCTCTTAAGTTTTAACATACAATTTTTTGTAGGCTTGTGCTACTTCTGATTGTCCTAAAAGTCTAAATTTAGGGCAAGTTTTCACGTAGAGAAAAAAACCCTAAACAAAATTCTGTATTATTCTTACTACAAAATCAAGATAATTTAAAATGTTACACTACCATATAAAAGAAAAAATTAAACAGCCACTTTGCTTGCTGAAATAAAAGTTAGTCTTTGTCTAACTATTATATGTATGCCCTCTATAGGAATGTACTAAAGGGTTTATTATGAAACCATAATTTGCATAAAATAATAGACACTAATTATGTTGTATTTTTAGCTAAGTAAAATGGGTTGAATGAAACCACAGCAGGCTTATCTGATGGAGTTCTTGAAATTGTTTTAAACACATTCTCTGAAATACATATATTATACACATCAGACTGTTATGTACATTTTCCCAAGAGGCAAGTGGAGATTTGAAAATGTACTTCCTGTGGATTTTAAACTTAATGAGACGAAGATAGCGTGCCTTTGTTTGCTAAACCTCTGCAAAACTACACTGTAATAGTTTTCTATATTCAGATAGCTCTGATTTTAAAAATAAATAATATCTGAAGTGTGATGCAATTATTGGGCAGCTGTATAACAGAGCAAATGGATGAGGACATTGGTCATCCATTTGTTTTGTGTCTTTGGGAAGGAAATTGAAGGAGGTGGTGGATAAAAACCCTGTCTTTTCAATAGCCCACAGCCAAGCTATAAATAGTCAGCTGTGCACCGGTCTTGGGGAGTGCAACAATTATGAAGTGTGGCCATTAGCAAATCTATTTATTAACAAACGGGAAAAGGAAAAACAGGAAAGAAATAAACCCTCCTGGATCAGTAATCCCACTAGCAATAGGGCTGGCTTTACCATTAAGCAGAGTGTATTGTTATCTGAGATAGCAAGTGCTCAGGGAGAACCCTCTGAACTTTCTCTCTGTTGAAGGACAGCGATCTAGATGTCCTTGTGTCTCCAACCTATGCTGCCAATGCAATGTCACACACTGCAAATGTTGAACAAAGTTTCAGCAGTCTACCCACATTGGGTATTCTAAGTGGCAGCATCTTTCCAAGCTTCTAGGAATTTTATTCTGTCTGAGCTGGAGGTGCCAGAATTTAAACTATGATCCTTCTGCATTGCAAACATGTGTTCTCCTATTGAACTAATTCATTTTTACTATGGTTGCAGGATTGCAAGCCACAGCTTTGGGGGAAAAACCACCCTATTTCACATATTGTATAAATTTGTTTAGCACAGGATATTAAAGAACGTAAGAATGACCTTCTCTTATCAGACAAACAGTCTGCTTGTTTTGAACAGCAGCCGAATATATGGAGCTGAAAATTCAAGTTGGATTTTGAAATCCTTGTTTAAATGAATATACAAATAAATCTAAAACTAATGGGTATCCCCATACATTGCAGCATCAATTTCATAGAATATCTCCCTTGCCGATGCAGGAAATTATACAACAAGATGAAAGTGAGTGTATCATATATCTTTAGGGAATGCCCTCAGGTACAAAATACTCACAAAATGGCTAATGTATAGGGAAGAAGTGTCACATTGTAAGCAGAGCATCAGTGGCTTAATGCATCTAATACAGTATCTGTATTTACATTTTGTCCTTATTTTTCTTAGAGAACATTTTAAGTCCATCGGTGGGCAGCACAACAGCCCACTGATGGAAGACTGAAGCTCTAACGCTGTAGGACCGCCTGCCAAAGCCACTGGCAAAGTCAACAGCTTTAAAAAGTAAAAGAAGAGGGAAAATATGTTTATAGAAAATGGCAAAGACAGAGAGAGAAAGGATAAGAACCCCCTATAATGTCAGAACTATAAGCCCTTTTCTTTGCCTCCTCCTAAAATTGATTCAGCCCTTTATTTCTTTTCCTTTCTGCTCTCCCATTGCTTTTCTTTCATTTTACTTTAGGAGTTTCGGCCAAAATTACGAAGTGCCAAACATGAATTGAAAGCCAACTTAATACCAACAGACAAGAACCACCAAAAGGAAATAAAATATAGTTTGCCGTGGGGAAGCAAACAAAACAAAATAGAACTTAAGAACCTTCCCACTGGCAATGGACACTTAGACCATATCAAGGGGTATATGAAACAACAGTTAAGAAGGGAAGATAGAAGGGCAGGCAGGAAAAACACCAGGAAGACCCCAGACTGGACCCAAATAGGAGAGCAAGCGATGGATCCCACTTTCTAACCGCAAGCCAAATGGGACAGGGATATGATCAGTATGGTTCATGTAGATATAGCAAAGCTAGACCAAGAGCCCATTCACACCATATAATTATAGCACTATATTCAACTTTAACTGCTATAGGAACATCCCAAGCAACTGTGAGATTAGCGGTATTCCATAGGATGTTATGATTGCAGTTAAAGTGGAATGTAGCACCTATAATTGTAGAGTCTGAATGGGCCTCAAAGCTTGAAAAAAAAATTTCTGAACATTTTGTCCTAGTATAATAGTGATTTCTGAGTCGGGGATTTCTGGGAGTTCTCCAAAAAGTAAAACATTCAAAATCTTGAGACAGACAGTGATGTTTTCCCACTCAACCATTACACAAACTCAATTGACTAGAATCTTCACAGTTCAGGAATTATTCTCCACAAAATATACAAATGGTTTTTTTCAACAATTTTTATACAGAATAAGCTCCTGATTATAGCATTTTCTGAACAGAAAATAATATTTTTGCAGATAAATTATGTTTTTTTGCATAGAAAACCCTACTTTCTGTATAAAAATGCAAATGTGAACTGTAAATAGTATTATAAAACTCTGATGTTTTTAAGATTTTCTCACAGTAGAAAGAAAATTCACTTGATCCTCCCTTCAAAATGAAATTAGTGAAGAATTTCCTCCTTGGGTTGTTGTAGGTTTTTTGGGTTAAATGGCCATGTTCTAGAAACATTCTCTCTTGACGTTTCGCCTGCATCTGTGGCAAGCACCCTCAGAGGTTGTGTGGTTTCATGGCCAGTGATTCTGGCCATGAAAGCCTTCAACCATATAATTTCATCCCTATTCAATAAGAGGAGAGAACTAGGTTACACTTCAAGAGTGGAGATGTTGCTGTAATTCAAAGATTATAAGCATTTTCCCTTTCTTTTTATTTACGCTAAACTTGTACAAAAGGAATTTATGGCTTTATGTGCTGAAACTATGCAATAAGTCTTTGTTAAATTGAATGCAAAATATACAGAATTAAATATGGAATACAAGAAAATAGTTATAAGGAGTCAGGATGCGAGGCTGAATTATTTGATCCTTGTAAATGCTTATACACATAAAGATTTATAACATTAAGTTCTACTATTGAAAAATCAATCTCCTCCATACAAAATGTGGAAGAAATTAAGTGTGTATGATTGAATATGCAAGTACACGGAAGTAACACAATTATGCTCTTCATAGTTTATTTTATTCCAGAAAGCAACTCAATTTGTATCAGTGCAGTGTGTGTATGTGTGTGATGCTTTTTTATTACCTTAAAGTATTGGAGTTGTTTCTCAGCATTCATTGTTCCTTCACTTTCTTGCCTCAGACAGGAATTGAAGATAAAAAGCTCAGTATCTCTCAGCCACCCTTTCAGCTCTTTGATCCTGATCTCCAGCTGCCTTACCAGGCTGCCGCTTTCAGGTGAAAGCAGGTCACGTGGACCTAACCCACTGTGTCCTACCATTGTGTCTTGGATCTTCTCTCCTAGGGTTTTCTAATGGAAAAGAGAAAGAAATCACAGATTAATCTTATGTTTGAAAGGATGTGCATCTGATAGCTGACCAGCAGTATATTTAGCTAGATAATACCAATATTAGTCATTTTTATGTGTTATTGACGTCATTTGAATGTGATTTTCTTGCTTTTTGGCAGGGTGTTGGACTGGATGGCCCATGAAGTCTCTTCCAACTCTATGATTCACAGTGCAGTGCTACACATGTCTCTAGAAACCTTACTGAGTTCAATGGGGGTGAGATTTTAAAGACAACACCCATTTTAAGGGATGATTTATTTTGAAATCACAAGAAGCAAGCCATGAAGATGTTACAATGATGGTGTGGCAATGGTGATGCTCATTAGGTGGGATACATATGTGGGGGCATTCTTGGGGTTGAGAAGGGTGGGGTACAAATGTGGTACATACATACATACATACATACATACATACATACATACATAAAGTAGCAACCACTCAATTACCCAAGAAATTAAGAAAAGATACATGCACATCTTTCAGGCCATTGCTGCCACCCTGACATTCTCCCTTCTCACCTTGAAGACTGGAGAAAATGGACCAGGGCCTGAGATACGCTAACCCAACACATGGAACTAGCTGGCCTTGCTAGTACCCTCTTTAAAAACACATGCTGATTGTATGACCCAGGTGTTACTGTGATGGGTTCCAGTCCTTATAAGTGTAAAATATAGCATTTGCATTAAATCAGTGTACATATAATGTACATTCTACTGATTCACTGGATTTTGCTACCTGTGGTAAAGAATGAATGCCAAACAAACCAAACACCAAGTGACAGATTAGACTGCAAGCCCTTATCCAATGTTAGCCAACACTTCTCCATTGAGAAGTATCCTTGGGAAAAAATGGCCTTTCAGTAGAGAAGGGAAAGGATGACGAAGTGCTTAACCATGCCTCAGTTTCTTTCACTGAAAAAGTTTACTTTCCATCTGTTTTTATTTTAGAAGTAAACACCAAGCTGGAACATCATTTGGGATTGGGCACCGAGTTTCAGGGAAAGTACCTCTTCCACCTTCAAGGCATTTGCCAAAAATGGAGATACCATTGGGTATCATATAAGAATTGTGTAATATGCTGTTTAGTCATTAAGCTACATATTGAGACATCCGTTCCTTTAGGATAAATTCTAACAATGCCAACTGAAAATCAAGGTTAAATTCTCAATTTATTGTGATAATTTTCAACCACATTCTTCTTTTGATTTAATACAGAAACTGGGAAAGTGTTACTGAAGCCCATCAGAGTGCATCGTACGTCAGAAGTAACCAATAGTTGTTTTAAAATGTTTGTATCTGAAATATAATTATTATGCCATGGTAGAGAAGTCACAGAGGATTCTTTCATTGTTACGGTAGCTGCAAAAAAAATTCTATTTGTTGTTATCTAGTTGTGTGCATTCATTTGATTATATCCTGCTTATCCTGATGATTACACAGTGCTTCAAAAAGTCACCTTTTTAGATTATAGTTTCCAGACCTGCCCCAGTCAGCATGTTCACTGGCTATATTTGCTGGAGGATTCTGAGAGCTGCAGTCCACAAAAGCAACTTTTGGTTCTGTGAATTTGCAAGCAACTTGACTTGAAACAAATTTAGATAAGAGCAAAAAGACAATTTAAGACTCTATATGTTGTCAAAGGCTTTTATGGCCAGAATCACTGGATTGCTGTGAGTTTTCCGGACTGTATGGCCATGTTCCAAAAGAATTCTCTCCTGATGTTTCACCCACATCTACGGCAAGCATCCTCAGAGGTTGTGAGGTCTGTTGGAAACTTGTCAAGTGAGGTTTATACATCTGTGGAGTGCCAATCTCAGACTACACAGAGAAGCCATTGCAATCCACAAGCATGTGGACAATTTCAACAGAAAAGAGGGAACCATGAAAATGAACATAATCTGGCTACTATTAAAAAACTGTAAAATCAGGACAGTAAATAAAGAACAACACTCAAAAAATACAGGAAATTCCAGACAAGAATCAATCAGGGCCAGCTAACGCCTCCCAACAAAGGATGCTCCCAGGCAGCAATCAGTCAGGCTTTAAGCTACAAGGTAATTAAATGCTAATCAAAGTAACTAATTGCATTCACACTTGCCTCAAGCAGACAAGAGGTCTTTCTCCCACCCTGGACATTCCACAGATATATAAACCTCACTTGCCTAGTTTCCAACAGACCTCATAACTTTTGAGAATGCCTGCCATAGATGTGGGTGAAACATCAGGAGAAAATGCTTCTGGAACATGGAAAACTCACAGAAACCTGTTAAACATTCTGTTTGGCTTTGCTTTTATTTTTCCCTAGGGAAAATAAGGATATGATCAGGACTGTGTGAGTAAGTACTTGGGAACTGGACCAATGTCCATTCAGGGTGAAGAAAGCTAAGTTCCAGAAGCTGGTCCTTTATAGGTAGTACTAATAAATTAATCTTTGAAAAAGGGCAGGGTTTGAATTAGCCTTGTTAAAATCAGTGGGATGACTATGGATGAAGTATCTTGAGAATTTACAGTAGAAGGGTAAGCTTTGAAACACACGATGAATTAAATCAACAGATACTCATCTGTTCTAAAGCACTGTGCAAATAATGTGTTTTGGGAGATCATTACGGAAAAAACAACACATATTCTTGGCAACACCCTTCTATTTTGATGGCTCAAATATTGATAATTTGAAGGCTCTCAGTGGAATTCAGCTTTAGCTATTGTTTTTATGCTGTAACAAAAGTAGCAGCAGGAGGTGAAATCAATGCCCTTGGAGGGTAGGGTCACAAAAAAGAATTTATTGCCACTTTTTTGTTCTGGAACAGTTTGCAATCATAAATTCTTCATAAACAGAATACTTCAGAGAATGGTCCGCCTTCATAAATATACGACAGAGGACATCAATTTCATTTAATTCACAATTTGTGTCAGCACAGCAGATGCCAATGCCTGCCTTGATAGGGTTGTTTAATATGCAATTGAGACTGAGTAATATTCAGCACAGGGGACAAAATTTCACAGATTAAACTGTACGCACCACTGACATTTCATTCTAATGTATTTCCATTCCACACTGTTCACCTTAGATGAAAGTAATATTAAAAACCATATCTCTCTATTTTACCATTGTTAGAAGTTAAAATCCTTGTCTTTAATTTTTTTCATGCCAATTAAAATGTAATCATGCCAATTAAAACAGTATGCCTAGTGTTGTGAGTTTCCACAGTGTTTTTCTTATTAAATTAAAGAAAACTCAATCAAAAACTGCTTATTATACATGAAATTTCATTTAAGAGGAAAAAGCAACTTTTCTGTAAATGCAGAAATTAATTTGAAAAAAGTGATATAAAACTTATCTTGATCTTAGCATGCAAGAAAGAAACAGTCTTTCAAATCCATTTTAAATGGCTGTGTAGTGTTTTGTTTATATTTAAATTCTGATCAATGTAATAAAAATGTTGATTAATTGATCATATAAGCTACCAAGGGCAACCAATAGTTAAGCCTGCACTTAAGTTAAGTTGATGAAACTCTTAGGCAGACACGGCTGAAATATGCACAGTTAATTCTATATGCTCAAGTAGCATTTCAGTTTGGGCTTCTCATGAAGTAACTTTCCTAAAGTTTGCAAAAATTATTTATTTTGGAATTCAACCTCCAAACCCCCAATGGCTCTGCAGTCTAGGGTATTCTAGGAGATTTTTTTGTGTGTGTCAGGAGCACCTTGAGAAACTGTAAGTTGCTTCTGGTGTGAGATAATTGGCCGTCTGCAAGGACATTGCCCAGGGGATGCCCGGATGTTTTTGATGTTTTACCATCCTTGTGGGAGGCTTGGGGAGCTGGAGCTAATAGAGGGAGCTCATCCGTTCTCTCCCCAGATTTGAACCTCCGACCTGTCAGTCTTCTGTCCTGCCAGCACAAGGGTTTAACCCATTGAGCCATCAGGGGTTATTTTAGGAGAAACTCTTCCCCTTCTCATGTCACATGCTTAGGGGCCCATGCTTAGGAGAAAGTTACATATCAAAATGAAGTAAATCTAATGATCTGATGAGTGGCTCTATGTTTGCATATCACATTAATGTAGTAAGTAAGTAATAAGATCTGTATCCTATTGAAATCATCATCTAGTTTAGAGCTACTCAATCAATTCTTGAAGAGTGAATGAAAATTCTAGTATTTAATGTATCTACTATAGTTGTATTACCAATAATCCAAAATGGTGTCTTTCACAATTTTTTTCAAAATCCAACAGATTGTTTGGGCACTAACTGTGAAAACAAACTTTTGTGTAACAAAGGACCATTAACTCTACAATATGCTCTTTTCCCCACTACCTTGTATGATATTGTTTGTTCTAGATCAGGTGTGGAAGTTGTGCAGCCTATGAGATGAATGCAAAGCTTTGGGAGGCCTTGAGATTTCTCTCCTAACTGCACCTAAAATCATCAACATCTCTTAAGCACTTTGTTTTGTTGAAAAAACACACACATGTTTTCCAGGGTAAAAAGTATTTGGAATAGTTTCAGGTATCCTACCGCTTGAAAACACCATGGCCTCTGCTCTAAAAGGCCTCCAGGGTAAGTGGGAGTGATGTGATCTTGTTGACAAAATGCTTACTGAAGCAATACTCCCTGGTGATCTAGTGGAGGCTAGAATGGTGTCATCTAGGCCACTAGGCTACCAACCGTGCCTACCTTTTTTTTTTTTTTTGGTCATTGGGGAGGCTGACCAGGCATAGCCTATTTTTAGTTGAATTCCATAAGTAATGGCTAGTGGAATCCATCTCAATGGGGTTTTGAATCTTTTCATTTTAATCTGACTGTAAAAGAAGTTATTCAAAGTGCTAACCTAACCACTGTCCTGAAATATCAGACCTTTGATAAACCCTTGTTCCAGCAGGACTGGTAACCGGCAGGTTCAAATCTGGGAAGAGTGTGGATGAGCTCCCTCTGTCAGCTTCAGCTCCCATGTGGGGACATGAAAAAAGCCTCCCACAAGGATGGTAAAACATCAAAACATCCATGCACCCACGGGGCAATGTCCTTGCAGATGGCCAATTCTCTCACACCAGAAGCGACTTGCCGTTTCTCAAGTCGCTTCTGACACGGAAAAGAAAGACCTTGGAGAGCTCCTCTAGGGCTCCTGCAAATCTTGGATAACTTATAAAACTAACTGCAAATTTACCATAATATTGAGATTGGAGCCACTAAGCTGGCACTGAATTCTGTTGCTCTTGAAGGATCAGCCCCACAGCTCCAATGTCCTCTTGGATGTGGTCTAATACCAAGCAAGCATGTAGCTGCAGTGATTTTGCATACTGGCCTTGGAATGTAAGTTTAGATTTTCATATGTTTGTCACATACTGTATACATCAACTATGAATACTCTACACTCGCTCTGGATTTTGACAGTAAAATAAATAAATAAATGTTGCCAGATATTATTTGGCTGTCTCTCTCCTAATTTTGTTGAGCTTGTTGGCTTCTGATTCTGTTTTTATTTCTCTTTGTTCTGATGTCCTGGCCTTTTTTTTTTTTTTTGAGTATCACTAATGTACTTTTGTTTGTTATGTTTTTTAAATATTATATTATATTGCTTTTTTGTATGCTACCTTGCGTGCCTTTTAAAATCAAATGTAATGTAAATTTATATTAACATATAATACATTTACAGTATTTTTTATTCCATATCAATTTTAATTTATAATCTAGGAGAGGAGAAATGAAAAATATTAAAGCAATGCTTTAACAGTCCTTCTATTTAAATTCCTCCAGTATTTTGGTATAGACTGTGTTCTAGGACCCTATGTGTTGCAGAAAAAGAATTTCTGCCCTTTTTAATTTGCAAATCTATTAAAATTATAGAAAATATAAGCTGAAAAGATAAGTTGCTGCACACCATATTTTTTTAAAAAAATAAACCTTTTCTTTGCTATTTTAAGGAATCTATAGAGATTTTAAAATTTCCATTATTATCTTAAGCATTACTAAACTAACTAAAGTTTTCCATTTAAGATAGTGAAATGGTAAGGCAAACATGGTTTTAAAAGATCGTGTTTATGGTGTTCAAATATATAGATTCTGTTATTTTTAGAAAACCCTCTTTATTCCTAAATTATCTTTTAAACAGCTTGTGAACACATGCTACCTTGTGATTGTGACCAGAAACAATTATGCAAAAGTATAAATAATAAAAGTGCTCCTCTCGTCTCATGTGTCTTACAGCAGTCAACAACCATGCTTCTTGCATCATACATTTTTGGTGTTTGGGTAAAAGAATAACTATATTGCATTTTCTACCAGGTTCTTATATCTCATGTTTGGCTGAGACTGAACCATTATAGCATGAAATGAATTATATGCAACCTTTTCTTTTCTTTTTTCTGCTTTTGTCAAATATGTGCGGAATATTGCAGCATGAAACATCTCCTGACTGCATCCTCAGACTCAAGACTTTAGATTTATATAAAACTAGCTTGGGGACCCGGCGTTGCCCGGGTTATTAGAGAAAGTGGGTAATGGCGGTTCTGTATGGCAAGTTTGGTCTTTATTGGTCTTTGGATAATGGCAGCATTATTTTCAGGAAGTGAGTGAAGGTACTTGAAGTCCCATCATCCAAAGTCCATCCCCTTTCAAATTGCAGCAGGATGTAGAGTGGATCATGGGGGCTCTGTGTGCCAAGTGTGGTCTTGATTGGTCATTAGAAGAGGGTTGCAGCAATCTTTGGAAGGGAGTGGAGGTACTTGAAGTCCCATCATCCATGGTCTGTCCTCCTCCAAACTGCACCAGGATGTAGAGTGGGTCTTTGGAGCTCCATGTGGCAAGTTTAGTCTTGATTAGTCACTGGCGAGGGTCTCAGTGGTCTCAGGAAATGAGCAAAGGTACTGCAAGTCCCATCATCCATCTCCAAAGTTTTCCAAATAACACCAGGACGTAAAGTGGGTCATGAGAGGTCTATGTGCCAAGGTTGGTGTTGATCCGTCATTGAATGAGGTTTGCAGAGGTCTCAGAATGTGAGTGAAGGTACTGGAAGTTCCATCATCCATGGTCCACCCTTCTCCAAAACTGCAGCAGGATGTAGAGTGGGTCATGGGGGCTCTGTGTGCCAACTTTGGTCTTGATTGGTCATTAGATGAGTTTTGCAGCAGTCTTGGGTAGTGGAGGTACTTGAAGTCCCATCATCCATGGTCTGTCGTCCTCCAAACTGCTCCAGGATGTAGAGTGGGTCATTGAAGCTCCATGTGCCAAGTTTAGTCTTGATGAGTCATTGGCGTGGGTCTCAGTGGTCTCAGGAAGTGAGTGAAGTGACTGCAAGTCCCATCATCCATTGTCAAATTCTTCCAAACCGCACCAGGATATAAAGTGAGTTATGCGGACTCTCTGTGTAAATTGTGGTCCTGATCCATCATTGTTGGCAGTTATAATGGTCTTAGGAAGGGAGTGCAGGTATTGCAAGTCCCATTGTCCATGGTGCATCCTCCTTCAAACTGCACCTGGATGTAGAGTGCGTCATGGAGACTCAGTGTGCCAAGTTTGGTATTTTTTGGTAATTGGATGAGGGTTGCAGTGGTCTGAAGAATGAGCATTGGTACTGCAAGTCCCATAATCCACGGTCCATCCCCAGCCAAACCACACCAGGACGTAAAGTGGGTCATGAGAGGTCTCTGTGCGAAGTTTGGTCCTGATCAGTCATTGGATAAGGTTAACAGCGGTCTCAGAATGTGAGTGGTGGTACTGCAAGTCCCATCATCCATGGTTCATAGTCCTCCAAACTGCAGTAGGATGTAGAGTGGGTGATGGGGGCTCTGTGTGCCTATTTCGGTCTGTATTGGGAGTGTTCTGACCCAGCCCCGGCCTTTCCTTTCCTCTCTTTCTCATCTCGGAATGTTGGATTTGAGGCTGGCCAATCAGAGACCATATGCAAATTTCCTTCTGTCATGCCCCGTTTCTGCCATGAGCCCTCTTCTCCACCAGGGGCTCCTATTGAAGGTGGCCAATCAGAGACCATATGCAAATAGCACCGCAGCGGCAGCCAATCAGAACGCTGCCACATACTCCTTCCTCTGTCCGATACAAACATTCTCTTTTATTATATATATAGATTTGCATATTTGTTTTTTGAGCCATCAGTGTGACCTGAAATATGTAGTGACATCCCCACTTTTCATCTTAAGGGTATAGTAAATAGTTAAAGAGTAGATGTCTCTAACATGTACCTTCAGAATAAATTCTATTAACATTCACTCAAGCATGACAGTCAGTGTATATCAGATATACTGCATTATAGTTGACTTGGTGCAAACCCATAATACATGGCATATTTTACTTACAATTTTTTTTGTATTAAAGAACTAAAATTATTAAAAGACAAGAGGCAAGCAAGGAATAAAAAAATCAACAGACATGGAAAATACTATGCCCCCACATAATAGCATAAGTAGCTTGTTTGAAATGTATGTAAGTGAATTGAATGAAAGAGATATTTGTGCTTCAAATTAGAAATCAGACAGACAGCATACTTCAAGACACAAAAAAGTACACAACTCACAAACAGTAATAAAAATGCAAATACCCCAAGCAGCTCCCATTTTTCATTAATTGAATCCACTTTTTCAAGGAGATCGTTGGGTAGTGACACACCACTTCTCTTGAAAGCTTCAACTTTACCCAGAAGTTCCATCTTTTTGGGGTGTCTGATTGACATCTCCACACTGTACCTCTAAAATAAAAAAACAAACAAATTAGCAATAAGACAAATAAATATATTTTTTAAAAAATCAATTATTTAATTGTTTGACATTTGAGTGACTCTGGAGAGAGAATGGTGATCATTCAATTTACACTAGGGAGAATTCAATGGAAAGGTTCTTTAGGAGTAGAATCTAATGTTACCTTGTGATCCAAATTTCTTGGAGAAAGCTGATATTGTTATTCCAGTGCTTTCCAACCTCAATTTATCTCTTTGGATCCAAAGAGAAATTTTACATACAAAAAAGACCCTAGTCTTTTTTTTATGCCTAGGAGCTATTTATAAAAAATACTTTGATCACCAGATCTATCTCTGAAAGTACATCAGCTTCAGAAGTAGCTGACCATGTTGTATGAGAGAGAAGGGCATGCTGCTTGAAAAACTCAAACCCAACTCAAACCTTTGTATAGACAAAACTAGTTGTGAAGTTCTTTGTTACCTGGATGTAATTGGATCAAATGAAAAACCAAAGGTGGGCCTTTTAGAGTAGACCAGGCATTTAATCTGCAGAACATGGCCTTTGTATTTTTGATCACACTCTAAGGGTGCATCTACACTGTAGAATTGATGTTTTTTGGCAAGCCACCTGTCAATTATCGTTAGGTTCCCTGGTTCCGCCCCTTTTTTGGGTTTTGGAGGTAATAGGAGCCATTTTGGGTTAGTCCACACAGAGAAGCCTTTCATGCAGGACATAAAACTAAGAGCTCCTGTAGAAAGCTTCGTCTTCTACAGCTTGGCCGGGGAGAAAAGGCTCTACAGCTTGGCCGGGGAGATATACAGCCTTATAGCTTGGCCGGGGTTATACAGCCCTACAGCTTCTTTGCTGAGGGACTTCAGCCAGCCATCACCGAAACCTGAACTCCTTTTCCCCTGGAAGTCTACAAAGCTCTGCTTGGTAAGGGTCACTCGCGGAAGCCAGAAGCAGTTGGTACCGGGTGCAGGGGCTCCACACCAACAGAGGCAAAGACAGACTGCCCAGATTAGAAGTTAAGGATTTCCCCATTAGTTACAGTTATGAAGATAGTGCCTGTTCCCTGTGGACAAGATTGAGAGAGAGCCAATAGACTGTTAAGAAAGCCTTAAAGTACCTGTTTGTTTTCAATAATAAAGAAATTTGTTGAACCTTTAAGCAATCTAAAAACTCTGTTTTAAGGAAATACAAAGGCCTTTAATCTGAGGCAGCCCCGGCATCCCGTTGGGCACACAGAATTTATGTCCTGTCTACAGTTTTATGCACAGGCCCAGCGTGCAACAGCACATATAGCATTGAACCAGGACAGCTAAAGTAGTATGAAAACTGCATTTATTCTATAGCGTAAATACCCCTCAAAGAAAAGGTAAGATCCAATTGTTGTCATTTGTTTATTTACATTTTATTCCTCCCTTCCTAATTGTCCAAGGAGGCTAACAATAAAAGGAAGCATTTAAAATGAAATATAGAGAGTATCACAAAAGCAACAGATTTTAAATCAGGCAAAAATATAAACATGTCAAAATCAAGGAATTGAAACCATTTACAAGAATAAAAGAATACACTAACAGCCACCACTTCACAATACAAATAAACAGGTAACCAAGAGTCAACAAGTTCTGCTGGAAAGGGAAAGTCTCCCTACAGTGAGCAGCCACCAGAAGAAGGGGATGCTGCACAACTGGAATATAACTATCCAGAAAGACAATCTTAAGGTTCCAGATTTTTGTGTGTATGTGTCAGTAGTGGCTTGAGAAACTGCAAGTCACTTCAGGTTTCAGAGAATTAACCATCTGCAAGGATGTTGCTCAGGGGACCTCCCAGATGTTTTGATGTTTTGCCATCCTTGTGAGAGGCTTCTCTCATGTTCCTGCATGGGGAGCTGGAGCTGACAGAGGGAGCTCATCCATGATCTCCTTGGATTCGAACCTCCAACCTGTCAGTCTTCAGTCCTGCTGGCACAAGAGTTTAACCCATTGTGCCAGATAAATGGACAGATGAGATGAAATAAACAAGACAGTCAATGCTCTCTTCATTATCTCTCTTAAAGGTAGCATGGGTAATTTCAGCAATCTTCTTCCTGCTGTGAGAAAGTCTTCAAAAACCTCACAGTTTTCAAAGGCTATTTGCAATTTGATTCTTTTTCTGTGGAAAATTCACCCATGTTTGTTTTGTATGGAAACCAGCATTTTTTGCACGGATAATAATATTTCAGTGCAGAAATACTAATGCCTGCTGTTTTCTCTGCAAATCTACCACATGCAATTTTTGTTTTGCAGAACAAATCTACAATTACAACTTTTTTGGGGGGTCCAAAATTAATATATTTTCTGTGCAGGATTTGCTGTTTTCTGCACAAATTAAGCTTGTATGAATTTTGTGCAAAGAAGTGCTGAACTGCAAGGATTCCTGTCATGATTTCTTGACATTTGCAAAAGCATGCTTTAATTTTTTTTAAAGATTTATGGATATCCCTTCCATCCACAGTAAGTGGGAAGGGCCATTTTTATGTTGTGAGTGTTTTCTCTCTCCCTCTCCCTCTCCCTCTCCCTCTCCCTCTCCCTCTCCCTCTCCCTCTCCCTCTCCCTCTCCCTCTCCCTCTCCCTCTCCCTCTCCCTCTCCCTCCCCCCCCTCTCTCTCTCTCACACACACACACTTTACCATACATATGGTTACAAAAGAGGATTGTGTAGTGCTGGGGCCCTGTGGGAACATCTCGAGTTATAGTTGCTTTGCACCAATTCTGGGTATACTCACTGCCCATGGGAAGGACTGGATATTCATGAATGCAGAGTTTATTCCTACTGCAATTAAAAATGCTATTCTTTTTCAGAAAATAGAATGGAAATAATTTCTTTAATGGAATAAAGTATATGTACACATTCAGGAGTATTATTAGAGTTGAGGCAACATGATTCTCTATTCTCCTTATCCAAAGTAGTGCCCTCCCGATGTGTTGACTTGCAATTGGCCTGGATGGAATGATGGAAGTTATAGTTTATACAGCTGGAGGGCCCCAAATTCAAAATGGACATCCTATTGTGTGTAAACGTGGTTTTCTTATTGCCAAAACTAGTGCTGTTAATCAGAGCCAACCTACTTTGGATGAGAATCTATATGGTCCTTTTGATGTTTGAAACTCCATCACTGTACATATGCTAGATCTCCGAGATGGTGATTCCTCCCTTTCATCTCTCAGTTGTTTATTTTGAAATTGCACCTAAGTACCATGCAACTGTCTTTACAGAGCAAGGGGAAAAACATGATGTGAGAAGGTATTGGATACTTCTTTGCATAACATCTGAGAAAGTCAGAGGTATAGTACTTACACTGACAAGTTCAGGGTGGTTCCACACAGGGCTTTAATCTATGCCCAATCGGGTTTCTTAAACCCAATTGGGCCTACATTGAAGTCCACACCCCAACATCCGTGCTTCCTGGGGGGGCTGTCCAGAAAGTCTGGCAGGGCACCCGCACAGAACCCCCCCCCCCAGAAAATTATTTAAAAAAGGAAATAACATACCCGTCTGCCATTACCATGATGCCAGAGCTCTCCTGGCATGTAGAAATAATGTACCAGATGAAAGGGGGGCCAGAAGTGATTTTCCTCCCCCTCTTCTCCTGGTGTATCATTTCTATGCACCAGGGGAGCTCCTGCAGCACGGAAATGTCAGCCAGGTAAGTTATTCTCTTTTTAAAATGCTTTTCTGGGGGTTTGGGGGGCTGTCTTGGGGTTTCTAGGCTCCAGGAGCCCAAAAATCACGAGACAGCTGTGTGGATTGGGACTGAAGTCGCACACCACGATCCCTGGGTCTTTCCAGCCGTCAGATTACTTTAGGACAAAGCTGAGTTTTTCTGCTTTGTCCAGAAGGAATATGTTTTTTCCTGAGGCATCATTTGGACCCTCCAGGTGAAAACGCAGGTGCTCACTCATCTTAGGCGCAGTCTGGATGTGCCCTCAGTGTCTCTATCTATGTTTTTCTCTTTCTACCATACATCCCTTTATTCTTCCAGTAGTTTTAAAAAGGCTGGAGAAACTGTGCCAACATGTACTTTTTATTTGGGTACTACTATGAAGCATAATTATCCAAAAAGCATTTAAAAGGCTTACATAAATCAAGTGAAGCTATTAGTAAATTGAATGCTAAACATTATGGTTTCTTTCCTTCAAACTCAGAGAAGAAAGCTACTCTCATGTTCCTGTTGCAAGGGAGGAGAAAAAAAATTAAAATTAGGGCAAGTATAACAAAGTTAAAGTAGACTAAAGAATGTTTAAAACATGGGTGCTCTTGCCAGATCCATGAACATGTACACTGACAAAACAAAACAAAAATACAATTGAAGAGTACTTAACAGAAAACAGGAAAGGTGTGAAATCACTGTTTCAGCTAATAGATCCTCGGAATTTGCATGAATATGTTTGCATATTGTTAGTTTCATATTTTAATCTTTCATTTGCACTGCACATGAACATCATTTATATTTTGCCAACTTCAAATATTAGTCATTTGTGGATCACAGAGCAAAATGTTTTAAATGAGGTGATTTAAAGCATTTCTCATTATTAATGAACAGTGATCAGGTGTTGGTGTATCCAAAACAAGCATGAATATGCATAACAGGCAAGCCAGGGATTGTCTGGATTTATAACTGAAACTTGTCTTTTTGATATGTGAAAAGGAACAAGAAGCTGTAGTTTCTAAAAATTTGCATTAACAAGAGGCAATCAAGTTTGGAATTATGGGACTGGATCACACAGCAGATAACCATTTTCCTTGGCTAAAATTGCCAACAAGTATGCTTGTTGGCTCTATATGATTGCCTTTTCAGCTGGAAAGGTTGACTAGGAGAGATTACAATCTGCTTTATGTAATCTGATTTCTATTTAAAGATGATATAGCTGAAAAGGATTTACATATTTATTTCCATAAGTATGCATAATATCAAGAGAAATCCGAGTCTATTTCAGCTAGGCACTGAAATCCAGTTGGTTTTATGT